GGTCGCCGATGCCGCTGTTTCTAGGGATCCGGCCGTTGCAATTTTTTCAGACCAAGCATTTGCGCTTGGTTTCGGGCCCTCGGTCACCAGGACCATGCCAGATCGATCCGGCTCGTGAGATGCCGCAGAAAGATGGGGGGTTAGAGTTCTGGTTGTGTTTTGTTTCGATGTTGTGTTCTGTTCGTTCTTCGCAACGTCGGGCCTCAGGGTTGGGGGATGCTGCTTGCGGTGTTCTCGTGTGTCCCTGGCGTTCAACCTTCTCTGCCCTCACGGCGCGGAGGCTTTCCGGAGGAAGGGCAAGCTCTATCTGGTCTTCGAGTTTGTCGAGAAAAGCATGCTCGACATCTTGGAGGCGGCACCCGCGCGGGCACAGAGGTCTCGCGGAGGGCGCGGGCGGCGGCAGCACGACGAGGCAGGGACGGAATCGGGCATGGACCAGGAAGTGCAGAGGGATGGCGGGGGGGGCGAGGCGCAGAGGAGCCGACCGTGCTGTTGTAGATCAGGCGCCCGCCCCCCCTTTCCCCCACCTGGTAATCAGAGATCGTGTGCGTGTTCTGCCCTCCTCTCACCTGTTCCCTCATGCGCCCCCCTCGTCACCCCGCCGCGGCGACGAGGGCAGGACAGCTGGCCGCGTCGGAACGACACCAGGGGCCGAGGGCGAGCGAGCAGGGGGGCCGAGGAGGGGGACGGAGGCACTCCTCCCTCCATGCCTGGGCTGCCTTGCGGCACTCACTGCCTGCCCGCGCACGCGGGCGGAGCCTTTTTGCGCGCGGCTGTGGCTTCCGCCAGCTGCGTGCTGGCGGATCCGTGCGCAGTTTGCTTCGCTGTGGCCTAGCGCTGGCTACGAACGACTCCCGCGTCCGCCGAATCTGGCACGAGGAAGCGTCGGCGGATCGCTCGGGGTGGTTGACGTCGTTGCCGTGGTTGCCCGTGCGCCTCCAGGTCAGGCGTTGGCTCTGGATTGGTGCTTGCTGGGTGTAGCGTCGGGTGTCGGCAAGGTCCGTGGGGCAGGGATTCCTCCGCCTCCTCCTCCCTCGCTCCTCCGCCTCTTCCTCCTCCTCCCTCGCTCCCCTCCGCCTCCTCCTCCTCCTCCTCCTCCTCCTCCTCCTCCTCCCCCTCCTCCTCCTCCTCCTCCTCCTCCTCCTCCTCCGTGCGAGCGCCCACCTCACCCCGCACGGGGCGCGGAGGTGACCGCTGTGCGCTCTTCCTCGCGGCGCGAGCCGTGAGGTCGGGTGATCTATGGCAGCGCAGTCGGCACGCTCGCGTTCTCGGACACGAGGCAAGCAAGCAAGCCTGGCGCCTCGACGGCGCATCGGCACCAAACGAGTGCTGGCGCCTGCGTCGAGAACGGAAACCAACATGCTCAGGAGGTCGGGTCGAGTCCTGAGCCCGGTGCTGAGCAGAACTGGGTGAAATTCTAAACGCTTCGCGCAACCCCACAGGCCAATCACGAAACGATGCCCAGGCGAGTTGCCCTGATCAGGCATGTTGGGGAGCACGTAGTGGGGTAAGGGCTGGGAAGCCGTCATCACCCAAGAGTGGGAGGATGGAGGAGGAACTTGAGGAGGAGGAGGAGGAGGAGAAGGAGCAGGATAAGAATAATGAGAAGAATAATAATACGAATAATAATAATAAGGTGGAGGAGGAGGAGGAGCAGGAGCAGGAGGAGGAGGAGGAGGAGGAGAAGAGGATGAGGATGAGGATGAGGATGAGGATGAGGATGAGGATGAGGATGAGGATGAGGATGAGGATGAGGATGAGGATGAGGATGAGGATGAGGATGATGATGATGATGATGATGATGATGATGATGATGATGATGATGAGGAGGAGGAGGAGGAGGAGGAGGAGGAGGAGGAGGAGGAGGAGGAGGAGGAGGAGGAGGAGGAGGACGAGGAGGAGGAGGAGGAGGAGGAGGGGGACGGGGAGGGGGACGGGGAGGAGGGAGGAGGGAGGAGGGAGGAGGGAGGAGGGAGAAGGGAGCGGGAGGATTAGGCGGATGAGGAAGAGGGAGAGGAGGAGGGCGAACAGAAAGGCCAGAGGCCTCTTGGATGCGTCTCGGAGTCTGTTCGGATGTCTGTTGAGAGCTTTTTGTAGGCCTATTCGGGCGTCTTGGGGGCCTTTTAGCGTTCCCGAGGGCTCCTTGAAGCATCGTGGGTGTTTTGGGGGAGTCTCTTGGGGCTTGTTGGGGGTCTCTTGGGGGCCTCCTGTGAGCATCTTTGGGGCGTCTTGGTGGACTTTGGGCCTCCTGGGCGCCTCTTGGGGCCCTTTTGGGGCACTCTTGGAGTCTCGGGGACCATCGTGGGGCCGGCCATCTGGGGGGAGTTCGATGAAAAGACGGGGTGGTACTTCATCAGCCCCCCTCCCCCCAGGAGGCCAAGATTGGTTGAACACCTTCGTTCAATCAATAATGTTGGCCTTCTCGCCGAGGCCGTCTTGGACGCTCCAACGTGTCGAGGGGCGCCCCGTCCAGGTCGAGGGGAGGGGTTAGGGACACGGG